TTTGTATGATATCGTTAGGCCATTGATTCTCATTGTCGATTAACCACGAAGGGCCTGCCCGCCACGTTTTATTTTGTAAGAAAACGAGAGGAAGTTGGCCTCTTGAGACCGCATCCGCGGGATTATCTTTTGTTCGGATGTGTTTCCACTCTACTGTCTCAGTGAGGTCTCGAATCTCCGTGACTCGATTAGCTACGAACGTCTTAAGTTTATGTGTTTCAGTCTTGAGCCAGTGCAACGCTATAGTCGAATCGCACCAAAAAATTACCCTGTTAGGAACGAAATTTAACGTATTGATTACTTCATGGTATAATCGTGCTAACAATAATGCTCCACAGAGCTCAAGACGTGGAATGGTCACGGGCTTTAACGGCGCAACTCGCGACTTGGCGCACAATAAACGCGATAACACGGCGTCTCGATTATTCTTTGAGCGTACGTAAATACAAACGCCATATCCGACCCTGCTAGCATCACAAAAGCCATGAATCTGTATATTAGAGTGATTTTCTATTAACAGCTTACGATCGAAGGAAATGTGGTCCATCAATTCCCACTGACGCGTAAACTCGGACCATTCATTGAGAATAATTCGCGGAACGGGCTCATCCCAGTGTATTCCGCACCGCCACACGTCTTGCATCAATCTCTTGGCGAATAGTATAACCGGGCCTAATAAGCCTATAGGATCAAAAATCTTCGCGATCTCCGATAACACTCTTTGCTTTGTCACCTGCTCGAAACTTTTAATTGGGTTAGTAGTGTAGGAAATTTGGTCGTCTCGCGTGTTCCATATTATGCCTAATGTTTTCAATGCCCGGTCTGTATTTAAAGTGAAACTCGCGTGTAGTGCATTAGCCTCTAAATCGTTTATGATTCGTTCGTCATTGGATACCCACTGTCTAATAACGAAACCGCCGCGTGCCAATAACTCGGTCACTTCGACTCGAATCCTACGGGCCTCATCGATGGATTCAGCGCCGGTCAATAGGTCATCAACGTACAGATGAGATTTGAGGATCTCTGCCGCTCTAGGAAAAGTTTCTCGTTCATCATCAGCCAATTTTTTAATCACGCGGATTGCTAAAAATGGAGAGGAGGAAATACCGAATGTAAGAACGTTAAGTTGAAATGTTTTGACTACGCCGCCCTGGCGCCACAAGATCCGCTGATATCGCCGATCGTCCTCGTGTAATATCACCTGGCGATACATTTTCTCGATGTCAGCAGAGATAACATAGTCGTAAACACGAAAGCGAATCAAGTGTAGGAATAATTTTGCTTGTATTGTAGGACCTGTCATTAATATGTCATTTAAGGACATACCGGAATTGGATTTCATTGACGCGTCGAACACTATCCGGACCTTAGTGGTATCGCTCGCTTCCTTCATTACCGCGTGGTGAGGCATGTAATAACCGCGATCGTCCGGATTGCGAATCAATG